CTGGCCGTGGCTTTGGGCCTGGCAGTGTTATCACCTGGTGGGCATGACGACAGTACGTACATTAAAATACAGAATAACGACAGCGCTAAGATTGGTGGCTGCAAGTGGTCTTGTACAAATTGACCATCTCAGGCCAATAACGAGACATGATGGAAGAGGAGTTCAGGAAGGGCTTGCCACGCAGCAGGGAAGTCCAGGGACTGGCCTAGACGGGGGAGAAGCAGCCCAGGAGCTGACCCTCAGCTGAGCGGCGTGGCCCAGAACCAGGCCTGGATTGCGTGATGACGAGGAATGCTGTGCTGGATGAGTGGGAAAGTCCGGTCCTCCATGCCGAGACTCCGGGGATTCAGGTGGGACCAGGCAGGATACATCAGTCCTGTGGGAAATAATCCTAATTAAGAGTTTTTTCTCTAACTTCTTACAGTTATACTTACGTGGTTTTCTGGCTTTTTCCTTCCTCCATTCCTCCCTCCCTTCCTCATCCTTAACTTTATCATTCAGTAATGTATCATCTATTAACAGTGATAATGTGGACAGCAGTGTCATTGACTGAGCCAAGTACAGTGTATTCATGATGGGAAATTCATTTGGTATGCTATAATGATATCCAGTGATTGAATGTAAAAAAAAAATTTTTTTTTTAATTAAAACAACAAAAAAACCTCACCTGGTATCAAGGGAGGGACCAGGTGGTGAAGTGGTAACAGAACTGGACCCACATGGGAGAGGTCCTGAGTTCTTGTCCTGAGAAGGCCAGGCGTGCACACATGCCCATGATCTGGACTGCCTGAGACAGGAGGTGGATTGTGGTGTGAGGACTCTGCTGGGATCTCTCTCTCTCTCCTCTCTCTCTCTCTCTCTCTGTCATGGAAGAAGTGGATAAACTTTAAAAAGAAAATAGTATTGCCACAGTGCCACGTTTCCATTAAGCAGTAAGCAGCAGTTTCAGCTCCTCTGCGTTGTTCTGTTTAAATCTTTTCTCCCCTACTCTCACGCTTTGCCATCCGTGTCCTTCTGATCTTCCTGGAGAGGCTGTGCAGAGAACTTGGAGAACCGGTTCCGTGGGCTGTCTATTAACCCGACAGAGAGGGCGTCCTGTTCTTGATACCCCAATAATTTATTTGTGTCAGGATGCCCCTTTCTCCAGCTCTGTGGTCTTGGTCTCTTTAGACTGCTATACCAGGATAGCGTAGACTGGGGGCAGAAGCCACAGGCATTTATTTCTCACAGTTCTGGAGGCTGGGAAGTCCGAGGTCAGGATGCCGGTAGACTCGGTGCCTGGTGAGGGCCAGCGTCCTGGCTCACAGGTGGTCGTCGTGTTCTCCTCCCTGTGTCCTCATGTGGTGGAAGGAGTGGGGCAGCTGCCTGAGCCTTCTCTCACAAGGTCACTAGTCGCTTGAGGCTTCCCATCCATGATCTAATCACCTAGTAAAGGCCCCATTTCCTAATACCGCACATTGGGTGTTAGGGTCTCAGCAAATGAATTTTAGGGGGGCATATACATTCAGATGATGGCGATTATTTTCTCACTTTAAAAACTGAGACAATGACATCTGTATACCCACATGAGAGAATTTATTAGGGTCTTAGATTCTCCACACCTTAGAATATATTGGAATATATTTCTAACTTAAACAAAAAGCACTCTCATCATTGGACATTTAGAAAGGATTCAAAATGGTGATTGTGATTCACCCGCTATCTTTTTTTTTTTTCTTCAGGTTTTAGCCATAGGGCACCTGCGTTTGCCAGAGACATAGAGACAGTGAGAGGGAAAGTGAGAAATCACCCCCCAGGGGGGATGGCCATGCTGCAACCCTTTCTCCTCCACTTTTCTCCTCGGATTTTGGGCGTGCTTGCACCCGAGCCTGACCTGAGTTTCAAGCTGCCAGGTCTGGGACTTGAATCATGTGTGGCCACGTGGGAGGGAGTCCAATGCCTTAAGCAGCAGCATACC